GCGCGCGGACGCCCCTTTGTTTGCGCTGGACAACATATGCGTTCAGCGGGGAATCCCCAAAACAATAGCCCGCTGAAGAATAGGGACATAGTGAACTAAAGCACAGTTTCTCCCGTTTAATCCACATCGGTAACATTTGGGACTAAAATGTACAAAAAGGCACAAACTACTCTAAAAAGAGTTATTTTACACAGTTGTGAACTATAAATAAACGTAACGTACAGATTGTTTAGAATATGTGAACACTTTTACATGGCTGCTCTAAAAAAAATAATTAAAAAAAAGTCACATGACCAGAGGTGTTTAAATTCAGTTTGTCTCTCTGAAAGATGATGGCAATGTATTAAAAGCCTTAATACTAGGGTTGGGTATCGATTCAGATGTCCCGATTCGATTCGATTCTGATTCGCAAGCTCTCGATTCGATCAGATTCGCAAGCTCTCGATTCGATTCAGATTCGCAAGCTCTCGATTCGATTCAGATTCGCAGCTCTCGATTCGATTCAGATTCGCAAGCTCTCGATTCGATCAGATTCGATTCTCGATTTTTTTTTTCAGTGAATATGGTTTTAATACAAATGCTAGTGATGTTTCTAAAAAACAACCAGTAAACATCAGTTTACAAATGGTAAATAAATAAAAAGAAATTAAGAGCCACAGACCTTTATTTTAAACTTAATTTTTTTGTACAAGGTCCTATTTTTTAAACAATAATAGGGCCCTATAAAATGTTTTCCTTCATTTTTCTGGTACCAGAAAGATCAATTCATGGCTTTTGAGAATCGATATCGAATCGACGTCATTAAAAAATAAATAAATAAAGAAATAATTAATTGAAAAAAAAGTTTTTTTTTATAGGCTATTTGGTAGGCTACACATAATATTGTCATAAAATTATATGGTTAAGGCTTCTTACTTTAAAAACTATTAATATAGGCCTATTATTAAAATTGTTCTGTCTCATAAAATCTTCGGACTTTTAAACAGTAACATGGTCTCATTTGTTAACATTAATTAATGCATTAACTATATGAGCTATGAGCAATACATTCGCATAGCTTTTATAACCTTTCTTAAAATGTAATAACCTGTTTTTATACAGTCTATGGTAATAACCTACTAAAAATGATCATGATTATGTTCACATGGCATAATAATAACAACATGATCTTAAAAATGTATTGGTAAACGTTAAGATTAATATTATAGATGCTGTAAAAGGTGTTAATTGTTAGTTCATGTAACTAATTAACTAATGTTAACAAATGAAACCTTATTCTAAAGTGTAACCATAGTGGACAAGTACAAACAACACATTTTGAATAAGACTGATTCACATTATAAAATTGTAAAAATAACAAGTATGGTTACATTAAATCAGATTATATATAGGCAGTTCAATGAGTAAGAACACATTTGCTCTCTCTGTGGAAAATTTGGGTAAGTGATACTGAGGGTGAGGATTAGATCATCATGGGTCAGAAAATGAGCAAATCTGAGCTGGGAAAGACTGATATTGTTTTAATCTCTTGTAATCTGCTACCAGCTATGATCTACCCATCTGTCGGGAGCACAGACAGTTAAAGGGTTCATACAGTAAAAGCTGCTAAAGAGTTTAGGGAGCTCAGGTTTTAAAAGAACAATACACTTTGTTCATTTCTAAACAGATTTTTAAAAACATTTTTAGTGTTAGAGATTTGTCCTGTAGACGTCTTTACCATGAGACACTTCTTGTAGGTCTATCATATTATTTGCTAAATAAACCGCGCATCCTCTATTAATAACGTAGGACCCACCATTCAGAATATGGGACCATAAAGAAAAGACCTGCTGTTGTTGACAGCATCTCTTTGCTTTCTTCTCTCTGAGCCCCCTATGACTGCATCTATTAATTGAGTCTGGTTGAGTTGTGTGTGCTTAATCACGTTAACTCAGACGGTTATGGTCCCCC